TTTCTTGGTCTCTTCCTTTTCTTTTTCAATTGTCCCCATGGCTTGTAGTATTTCACACCTTGCTTTCTCTGATGTCGTACTGACATTGTGTTGTTTGTATTTTTTGTTCCATCATTTTCTAAATGTAACCTCAGAACACATTCTATGTTCGGCAAAGGACAAGAGGGATCCTCTCGCTTCTGCTGCTACCACGTACCATGCAGCTGTGGACAAGTCTACATAGGGACCACCAAACGCAGCATTGCCCAAACACGAATCAAGGAACATGAAAGGCACTGCAGACTACTTCAACCAGAGAAGTCAGCCATAGCAGAGCACCTGATGAACCAACCTGGACACAGCATATTATTTGAGAACACAGAAATGCTGGACCACACCAACAACCACCATGTCAGACTACACAGCGAAGCCATTGAAATCCACAAGCATGTGGACAATTTCAACAGAAAGGAAGAGACCATGAAAATGAACAAAATCTGGCTACCAGTATTAAAAAACTCTAAAATTATAACAGCTAAACAACAGAGAGGAAAAAACCAGGCACAGATTAATACCTCCCAGCAACAGATTTTCCCAGGCTCAGGCAGGCCTTCAAATGCTAATGAAGGTGATCAGCTAAACATTCACACCTAACTGCAGCAGGGAAGAGCTCCTTGCCCCACCCCAGCCATTCCACAGATATATAAACCCATTTTTCCTACTTCCAACAGACCTCAAACCTCTGAAGATGCTTGCCATAGATGCAGGCGAAACGTCAGGAGAAATGCCTCTAGAACATGGCTCTATAGCCCGAAAAAACCCACAAGAACCTAAAACTTTCCTTTTTGAGAGAGAGAGTACAATAGAAAAGTGTACTCTCAAAAAAAAAAGAAAAGAATAATTTTGTTAATATACACTTTCTCCCATTTTTATGGGGGTCCTGAGTCCCCTACCCTGCAGCAAATGTTCATGGTCTTGGAAACCTGCCACAGTGTCTTCTTCACTCGAGGTTGCCAAATTCTAGCGTAGAAGCAGAGGGGAGAGGCAGAAGAAAGCACTCACTGTCAGACCCTATTTCCTCGTAAGCTGAGTGGAGATTTCGGGTCCTGATTTGCTGCCGACGGATGCGGATCTTCTGCTTCAGCTCCTGGATTTCCTTGTCACTGTCCTCCTCCTCCTCTTCCAGTTGCCTGTTCGTCATGTTGCACTTCATCAGCTCAATGGCAGCAATGAGTGACTCGCAGATGCTAAAGTGAGCGTTTTCCTAAAGCAAAGAAAAGCTGTGTCAGGTTTTGTGCAGGATATAGGATGGAAGAGGAGAACCTTGAGTTCCCCTCTTCATGAGTTCAAAGCCAGCCAGGTCATGAGTTCAAAGTTAGCCCAGGTTGGAGTGAGCTCCTGTCATTGGAGTCTACATCCCCCCCTCCCCGTTTTAATGAGCTCCCCTCCACAAATAACCTGCTCCCCCTTTATCTCACCTGAGTTTTTAATCGGTTTTTAATTAGTTTTTCTTTTAGTCATTACATGTAGCTTGTCCATTGTCACTGTGATTGTGTTTACTGTAATTTTATATTGTTATGCATTTATATATTTTATGTAATTATGATGTTGTTTATTGTTTTCGTTTTTATTTTGCTGTAATTTGTTGTTTGGGCTTGGCCTCATGTAAGCCGCCCCGAGTCCCCATCGGGGAGATGGTGGTGGGATATAAATAAAGTTTATTATTATTATTAATACTTTAGCTTGCTGTTGATCTATGCAGCCCGAAAGACAATTGCATCTGTCAAGTAGGGAAATTTAGTTACCACTTTATGAGGGGAGGCTAATTTAACTAATGTATGACACCATAAAACCTTTCAGTAGCATGTGTAAGAATGAGGAAGTGCTCCATCAAGGTCTCGGTGTCACAAGTGGATGGTGAAGCAGCAGCTTCCCCGTGGCTGGAATCGAGCATACCCTCTTGAAGCCGGACAGCTGGAATGTTAAATAGCCTCTATGTCTGTCCATATATGTTGTATGTCTAAATGGAATTGAATGTTTGCCATGTGTATGTGCATTGTAGTCTGCTCTGAGTCCCCTGTGGGGTGAGAAGGGCGGAATATAAATACTGCAAAGGATTAAAGGAGTGAGAAGACTGGGTAAAAGGAGAACTATGCCCATTTCCATCATTATTCAATACTAAAAGAAAGAAGGACATTCTACAGCAGCCACGGGTAAACTTCGGCCATCCAGGTGTTTTGGATTACAACTCCCACAATGGGAGTTATACTACCAAAATGCCTGGAGGGCTGAAGTTTGCCCATGCCTGTTCTATAGTCACAAAATTTGAGAGAGCAATTTGGATATATCTGTTTTTCTCCATATTTTGCGTAGCATATTCTTGCAGCTGTTGTTGCTAAAAAGAGGAGTTTGTCTATATTGCTATCTAGTTTTTGTTCATTTATTCCTAATAAGAATATCTCTGACTTCAGTGGTATCTTTATTTTTAATGTTTTTTGTATATTTTCATGTATACCCAAATTGGAAGATTGGAACAAACAAATATGGACATACAGAACATGGATAGATTAACTTATTTGATATCCAAAGGAACAATAAGGAAAAAAATAGATTGGACATTGATAACCGAATACTTAAACTAAGAATAATAATAAATGAAGAAGGAAAGAAAGGACCCACCAACTTAGTAGAGAGCAATGAAGAGGGGGAGAAAGAAGAGAAGAGAAAGAAGAGAGGGACAATGAGGAAAGAAGAAAAAGGGGAAAACCCTCCAGGAAGAAGCTCAGAAGTGAGACTCTTATTTTCTATGTTTTTCTTTATACTTTTTTTTTGTTTTTTCTTTTTTTACTCTTCCTCCCACACCTGCCCACTGACACCTCACTCACTCTCCCCTCCATGACAGGATGGTTTTAAATTGTGTATTTTAATATTTTGATAAATGTTTTTTAATGTTTATGTATGTGAATTTGTGTCCCAGCATTGAATGCTTGCTGTGTATATGCTGTGTTCCGCCCTGAGTCCCCTTCAGGGTGGGAAGGGTGGAATATAAATGTTTTAAATAAATAAATAAATAAATAAACCCTCCCCCGGCTTTTTCTGTATTTTCTCTTATATATATATATGTGTGTGTGTGTGTGTGTGCGTGCTTTTCTTTTTTTCTTTTAGGAATTTTAACTTTGTAACCTGTAAATACTCAATAAAGATTATTTTTAAAAAAAGAATTTGAGAGAGCAGAGAAATTGACATCTTCCACAACACTTCACTCCCTTGTTCCAATCAAATTATTTTTTCTAGTCCTTTTCACAAGGAGCTAAGTTTTCAACTCACAGCCAAAGTGTAACAATATGAGAGAGATCTATGAGCAAGATCTCCATCAAGATTTAAAGCAATAAAGCTACCAAGGCCTTCATACAAAGCCCGCACTGATTTAGCGAGGGAAATGGATCTATTTTCACTTCAAATTCCTACTGCTACCTCCATCATTCTGTGTGAGGAAAGGGCAGCTGGGAGAAAGGGGAGAATTTTCACTCCAAAATGAGAAAAGATGCCTTTTTCAACTTATCTAAGTTGCAATATTTTTCCAGGTATAGCTACACGTATATTTATTTACCTTACTTATATACCGCTGTTCTCAGCCCGAAGGCGACTCACAGCGGTTCACAACAAATACGAACAGCAAAAATTCAGTGCTACAGTATAGAAACAGTTAACAACCTAACACATTACACAATTAATAAACATTTACTACAATACCCATTCACTGTCATCTCGTCATCAAAAACATGTTCCAGATTCGTCATCCATTGTTCCATTCCAGTGTTCATTAACCAATCATTGCACTAATTATTCGAACGCCTGCTCAAACAGCCAGGTCTTCACTTTTTGCGGAATACCATTAGAGATGGTGCTAGTCTAATGTCCGTAGGAAGGGCGTTCCACAGCCGAGGAGCCACCACCGAGAAGGCCCTATCTCTCGTCCCCGCCAGCCGAGCTTGAGAAGCAGGCGGGATCGAGAGCAGGGTCTCCCCGGAAGATCTCAAAGTCCTGGTGGGTTCATAGGCAGAGATGCGGTCAGATAGGTAGCTTGGGCCGGAACCGTTTAGGGCTTTAAAGGCCAACGCCAGCACTTTGAATTCAGCCCGGTAGCAGATCGGTAGCCAGTGGAGTTGGCGCAACAGGGGGGTTGTATGCTCCCTGCGCTCCGCTCCTGTTAAAAAAATGCATATGCATATGTGTGCATATGCATGCATGAGCAAGGAAGGTTGTTGCTGTATGTCTTCAAGTGCTTTCAAGCCTATGATGGCACAAAGGTGAATCTTTTACAGGACTTTCTAGACAAGATTTATTCCAAAGAGGTTTGCCTTTGGCTTCCTGAGACTGAGAGAGTGTGGCTTTCCCAAGGAAACACAAAGAGAATTTCAATAACATTTTGCATTCTCCCCTGCAGGTTAACCTCTCCATGTCAAATTCCACCCTTTGCAGTGCCCACCTTTTCCAAGTCTGCGCAGCTGCCAAAATCTTGCTCTGACAAATAACTGATCAAGGACTGGCCTTCGGAGGGCCTTCGGAACATCCCTTCGCCAGAGTGCAGGTATTGCCCCGTGTCTGGTGTGGGAAGAAAAGAAAAGAAACAAGAAAAACAGTCTTCAGGTTATGAAAAATTGAACTATTTTGTTGATTTATACCTTTCCTTTCTCCTGATAGGTGGTGAACAACATATTAAAACAATACACGTTAAAAACAGGAGAACTTGAGGTATGATGTTGTTTATTCGTTCATCCGCTTCTGACTCTTCGTGACCCCATGAACCAGCCCACGCCCAAGCTCCCTGTCGGCTGTCACCACCCCCAGCTCCTTCAGAGTCAAGCCAGTCACTTGATGATCGCATATGATGATAGCATAAGCAATATCTGAAATATATGGCCTACAGCATCCTTCCAGTGTGAAGCCAGGATAAGCACTGAAAGCTGACAAGGAAGGCAAACAGGCAACAAACAATACTATGGCCAAAGCATTTCCTGGGACTCAGTGCTGTTTTTAGTCCAACTTACTCACAACACTGGTCAAGACGGATCTTATTCCAAACAGTAGTATTTTATGGGCAATGTCTAATGCACACATTCTGTAGCTCTCCCCGAGCTCTATTGGGCTGGGAAAGAGACCACAGCTAGTAATAAAATAATAATAATCAAACTTTATTTATACCCCGCTCCATCTCCCCCAAGGGGACTCGGTGTGGCTTACATGAGGCCACACCCATCAGTACAATACATCACAATATAACACAAGAACATAATAAAACCAAAAAAAAAAATACATGAAATGCCAAACAATGTAATAAGCAACACAACAGTATAAAATCAGACATTAAAACAAAAAGATTTCGCTGTGCAGGGCCAAATTCAGGATAAAATTTAAAAACACTGGGAGATAGGACAATGTCAAACATCAGGAGGAGGATCCAGGATGAGGAGGGATTTAATTGCACGAACCACAAGATAAAGTGCTATTGAGGTCATTTTGCGAAAAATTTTGGTCAGGGAGTATTTTACGTTCAATCACTGAAGGCACATTGGAATAACCAGGTTTTCAGATTCCTCCTGAAGATTGCCAGCGTATGGGCTTGCCTAATATCTCTAGGGAGCGAGTTCCAGAGCCGAGGGGCCACCACAGAGAAGGCCCTCTCTCTCGTCCCTGCAAGTCGCACTTGTGATGCGGGCGGGAGCAAGAGAAGAGCCTCTCCCGAAGATCGAAGAGATCGTGTGGGTTCGTAAATGGAAATGCGGTCGCGAAGGTAGGTGGGTCCCAAACCATTCAGGGCGTTGTAGGTCAAAACCTTTAATTGGGCCCAAAAAATAAACAGCAGCCAGTGGAGCTCCTTAAACTAGTAATCAAGAGCTTTTATAGGAATTCTATAAAGGCTTATATACCATGTTGAGCACTGTCTGCAAAGAAGAGCTGGGAAAGAAAAGCAGGGTTTGCTATACACACCATATTCCATGTAGACAGAGCCAGGAGAGCTCACTTCGCCTCTCTGCATTGAGCAGGACATGCCGCCTTTGAACTGGGAGATATCACCATTGGATTCTGGGCATAATACATAAAAGAAAGAAGCCATCAAGCAACACACTGAGAATAAGTCTTGGGGGAAAACGAAGACAATGAGGAAAAACAATGAGGAAAAATGATGCACCACTGGGGGGGGAGGGGGGGGTTGTTAAACCAATAAGGAAGGAATTGGGATATTCAAGCAATGAGTGTGTTGCAGGAACCATGACAGAGATACAAGCCATGGAGCACAATTCTAAGGTGATGAATGGAAACCATGCAGAAAGCTGAAAATATGGACACCCAACACGTTGGGTGTAGATGTAGAACCAAATGTTGTGCCAGTGGATGTTACACAAGAGTATCAGAAAATCAACATTCCATTTAAATTCACCAAGAAACTCCAAACTGAGCTGTTGAATCCTTGCCTCCATTTCTGCAAAATAGCAACATCCTTTCCTCACAGTGGACAGAATATGTGACATCTGGGCAGCAAAGAACATGGCCTCCAGGGTTAAAAGCTGAGACATAGACCTCTGGAAAGACCCACTGCACTATTGACATAGGCCCTGACCCTTCCATACTGGAGTACTCCCAGCCACAATTTAAACATTTCCTAGGGAATTTAAATTTCCTGGAAGACCATCATGTTACAGGTATTATGGGGAGGAAATCAAAGTGGAGGCTCAAGCTTCCTGCCACTGACTGTTAACACTATTGCCACTGCTGTCAAATATAGTGTATATACTCGAGTATAAGCCTAGTTTTTCAGCCCCTTTTTTAGGCTAAAAAAGTTCTCCTAGGCTTATACTCGAGTCAAGGTTATTTATTATTTTACTCTGTTATTAGTATTATTTTATTATGTTTATTATTTTACTCTATTATTATTACATAGAATCATAGAGTTGGAAGAGACCTCATGGGCCGTCCAGTCCAACCCCCTGCCACGAAGCAAGAAAATTGCATTCAAAGCACCCCTGACAGATGGCCATCCAGCCTCTGCTTAAAAGCTTCCAAAGAAGGAGCCTCCACCACACTACCTTCTATTGTGACAGTGTTTAGATATTTGAAAATGGCTATTTATTATTTTACTATATTACTGTTATTAAATTTTGATTATTTACTCTATTATTATTATTATTATTATTATTACATTTATTATTTTACTCTATTATTATTGGAAGGATACGTAAGCACATTGACACTGAAGAAGATTAGAATAACGGTTTCATCAGAGTTGGATAGTCTTCTCTTAAATTACAGTTTTATGTAAATACACAAAAACATTTAACCTACTGATGATTTTCAGTAGCAGCTGCATTTTTCACCCTCGGCTTATACTCGAGTAAATACATTTTCCAAGTTTCTTATGGTAAAATCAGGTGCCTCGGCTTATATTTGGGTCGGCTTATACTCGAGTATATACGGTATTTTCTGGAGATCATCAGCAATTATTTTCGTGCCTCCTCCCTTTGCCACCAGCCTTAGAGCCATGCTATTTGGAAAATATAAATCTATTTCTCTTGCAGTGGCAGCAGGGAAAAACCGAAGTGTTCTGACAAAGTCTAGTAAGACCTCATGGGCATGTGTTGAAGGGTTTCCACTTAACCTGGCTTTGAGAAGCAATGCAGAAACAGAAAAACTACCCTTCCTGTAACTGGAGAGGTCAAGGTAGCACCATTATAAATGAAATGAAGACAAATGCTCTGGTAATGACCTCTTGCTGAAACCTTCTCCTCTTATCTCCTTCAGGGCTCTGGATTAGAAGTATTTGGCCGACAGCGATGATTCTGCACGTTTCTGTCAGGACACAAAGTTTGCCTGATCCTACACTCACAAAATAATAATGGCATCTCTGAGCTACAGTTATCATGGGGAAGGTTCAGAGTTCAACTTAAACCTTCACCACAATCAACCTCCAAGAACCACAAAGATGTAACTGGGCAGCGGGTGGCTTTGTACTTTATCCCATCGACTAGTGGAATGAAGACAACAGGAGTACATACAATGAAATGAAGGATGAAATAGAAAGGAATTGACATTTGAAATAATTTGCACCTCGAACATGCAATGGCAAAGAAGAGGAGAGAATGCAGCAGTACAAACACTGCTATCAACTTCAATAGCTTAGAGGCAAAACCCAAAACAGGATCATTTTGTCAGAAATGTTAAAAATTAACTAGGTATATTTAATTACAAAAATACAAGTATCAAATGGGTACAATGACTCAGCAAAAGCAGTGGTTCAATATAAGCAGGTGTGCCTGTAGCTTAGTAGTCCTCAATCTGTGAGATGTCTCAGTGTGGAAAGGCCTCAGTGGGAGAAAGGCATCACTGTGAGGTAGACCTCAGTGTGAGGGAGGCCTCAGTATGTTAGTGAACATCAGTGTGGTAGTAGGCCTCAGTAAGAGAAGGCTTCGTGTGCAAAGCTCCAGTATGAAAGTTGAACTTTATTTGTGTTATGGAGACCTTGTTTATGGTAAATAGTACAACCATATTATTTTGCTATAAAGAAAAGCCTCCTATGGATGAAATAACTTTGGTCTGTGTGTTTTTGTACTTTTTATCACTTTGGACTACTGCTGCTGTGTCGTGCTGCTGCTAATAAGTTACTCTGCTGTGCATTTATGAGGAGGGTCTTTTGATAATAAGCCCACTCGCCCAACACATTTGACAGATTATTTTTCCCCTTACAGAATCCAACTCTGTGTATAATTGGTTACTCCAAGTTAATAGGCCCAGAACTCAATACTTTGCACAGAGCTCTAAATCCACTAAATAAGAAACTTATAACTTTTGCTCCTCAGTCTCTGAGCTCAAGGGAGGCATCATGGCTGCAAGCAAAGGCTTTATTGTTGAAGTTGACAGTAGAGTTTTTGCAAAGATTTCAAAGTCAGTATGACAGACAGTGATACTGGAAGTAGGGTGTGGGTAGTTCTCGACATGCTGTCTCCCAAACCTGCTACAGGGTCTTCTATTATAATGCTCATATCCCTGTGCCCTCCTAAGGACCCGCAGCGAAGCAGAAAAGAAGGGAATGTTAGAAGAAAGAAAAGAGATGAGTTACTTACCAAGGAGGAATCCCACCTGCCCTCCTTTGCTCATGCCTAGAAGACCCCTGAAAGGCCCGGCTGTTCCTCCGACCATGAAATGTTCCCACTTCACTTCTTACTTGCCAAACTTTCAGAGCAGTTTCCTGTAAGCCAACTCAGACTTGCTGGGCTCTTCATCTACATCTCATCCATATCCCATTACCTTTTTCTCTTCCACTTGTACCAGCTACTGCTGTTGCTTTCAGTTCCACCCCTTTTCTTACAACTAGAAAAAGCTTGTCTGAATGTTCATACAGCATTACTGGTGACCAGGATATATTACGTTGCAGTAATTGCAGATGACATTTGTGTCACACAGGTGACAGCCTCTGGAGCAGCAAGCCAGGCTCCTCTCTTATAGTAATTTCAGTTATTGTGCTTTAGAGTGTGGTAATCTCCAGCTACCAGTACTGACCGCTGAACCACAATGATGCAAAAACTGACCCATTGAACTTCCAGCTCTCAGTCTAATTCTGAAAGCCATTTGCAAAGAATCAGTTCAGACCCCTGGGGAGAGGCAGCTGTCTCTTCTCTGGCCTCCCACAAAGCAGGAAGGATCAGGGAGGAAGAAAAGGTGGAGGTAAAATGAGAAATAAAGCAAGGAAAAGGACTGTCTTGACCCACAATTGGCCCTGACCCCACCCTTAGGTGATCTCCACATGCCCACTGCCAACATCTGTTGCCTGAAGGCATTCACAAAGAAAGGAATGGTTCCACACTCCTTCATTAGTTACTTGGCCAATTTGCTGATCGTGGTAAACATGAATTGTGCTTAATTACAAAGCAGGACTCACAAAACTGGCCTCTCTCGTATTTCTAGTAGGGTCTAAGGGTGAAGTTTTGATACGTTTATGTGTATTAATCCACAGATACCTTGCACTGACACAAAGACAACAAACAAGCCTGAGAGCAAATCAAGACTGAACCCTCCCTAGAAGCAAAACAATTTAACTGAGGCGATTTCAACATATCATGAAGCAATAGAAAAGATGACAATGGTTGGTTAAGTGAGAAACAGTAAGAAAAGGGGCAGGATTGACTCAAGAAAGCGATAAAGCAAGTTACAAGTCTGAAGCCACTGCCAGAAGGGACAGAGAGTTTCATCTATGCTGATGATCCTGCCATTACCGCTCAAGCAGGGAGCTTTGAGATGGTTGAACAGAAGCTCTCTGAAGCTCTAGGTGCTCTTACTGCCTATTACAGGGAAAACCAGCTGATTCCCAACCCATCTAAAACACAGACATGTGCTTTTCACCTCAAGAACAGACAAGCATCCTGAGCTCTGAGGATTACCTGGGAAGGAATCCCACTGGAGCATTGCAGCACACCCAAATACCTGGGAGTCACTCTGGACCGTGCTCTGACCTACAAGAAGCACTGCCTGAATATCAAGCAAAAAGTGGGCGCTAGAAACAATATCATACGAAAGCTGACTGGCACAACCTGGGGATCACAACCAGACACAGTGAAGACATCTGCCCTTGCGCTGTGCTACTCTGCTGCTGAGTATGCCTGCCCAGTGTGGAACACATCTCACCACACTAAAACAGTGGATGTGGCTCTTAATGAGACATGCCGCATTATCACAGGGTGTCTGCGCCCTACACCACTGGAGAAATTACACTGCTTAGCCGGTATTGCACCACCTGACATCTGCCGGGAAGTAGCAACCAATAGTGAAAGGACCAAGGCAGTGACATCTCCAGCTCATCCCTTGTTTGGATATCAGCCAGCATGTCAACGACTTAAATCAAGAAATAGTTTTCTAAGATCTACAGAGACACTCGCTAGAACACCTCAGCAAGCGAGAGTCCAAAAGTGGCAGGCTCAAACCCAGAACCTCAATCAATGGCTGATACCAGAGAGACTCCCCCCTGGGCACTCAGAAGATTGGGCGACTTGGAAGGCGCTGAACAAACTGCGCTCGGGCACCACGAGATGCAGAGCCAACCTTAAGAAATGGGGCTACAGGGTGGAATCCTCGGCATGCGAGTGTGGAGAAGAGCAAACCACAGACCACCTGCTGCAATGCAACCTGAGCCCTGCCACATGCACAATGGAGGACCTTCTTGTGGCAACACCAGAGGCACTCCAAGTGGCCAGATACTGGTCAAAGGACATTTAATCAACTACCAAGCTTGCAAACTTTGTGTTTTGTATGTTTTTTTGTTTGTTAAAAATGCAATACAACTCTTTGGTTTCCTCCTGACATGATAAATAAATAAAATAAATAAATAGTCTGAAGACTGCAAGGCTGTGGTTGGCTGGGTCTCTTGGGGGCTTCCCACTATTGGGGTCACCATAATTCACAACAAAAAATATTTTTTCCGAGTAAATCTTCTCAAAGCTCCTTCAAAGTGGCCTTCTTGCAATGAGTGGAAGAATACTAGGATCGAAGTAAGTAGGGGAAAAGCAGAACTATGTTTTAGATCAGGCATGGGCAAAGTTTGGTCCTCCGGGTGTTTTGGACTTCAACTCCAACCATTCCTAACAGCCTAAGGCTGCGGCTGAGGGGGAAAAGGAAAGGACCTGAAGCTGTTAGGAATGGTGGAAGTTGAAGTCCAACATCTGGAGGACTGAAGATTGCTCACGCCTAATCTAAATATACCATTTTTAGTCATAACACCTACTAAGTAGCAGGAGCAATAGCAAAGGATGAATCTACCCATCCCCATCAAAATCTTACCATGTGCTCTCCCAGAGGCCACATTGGTGTCCGAGTGGGAGCGCATGTGGCTCCTCCTGAGCGTCCCTGGTGGAGCCAATGTCTGTCCCTCTGAGAAGCTGGATCTGCGCAAGATGCTGGTCCCTCGGACGCTGCTGCTGCTCCCTCCGCTGGCCCCATGCTCACTCAAAGAGGAGAGGGACTCCGGTTTCTGTGAGCTGCCGGATGAGAACAGGTTGGAGGTGCTGCTCCCAACGCTGTTGGGGGTGGCCGCGTTGGACTCGCTGGGGCTGTCGCAGGACCGACTCTGCCGGCCCAGGTTCCCGATGGCCAGGTATTCCGGCCCGTCTGTGTCGTCCTGGCCCCCTGCCCAGGAGTCATCGCTGGGGTCAGCGGAGGTGCCTGTGCTCATCTCGCCAGTCAGGGAGGAGTCTTTGGGGCAAGAGACAGTGAGCTGGGGGGCAATCAGGCGTGGGGGGGACCGGCCCTCCGGCTGCCAGTGGGAGGATGAGGCACACGGGGCATTTTCCTGAGGCTGGCTGGAGCTACTGCTGCAAACCAAAGTGCTTGAGAGTCTCCTGTCTGGAAAGAAGCAAGGAAAATAATGTAGACTCAAAGGCTTTCATGGTAGGAATCACTGGGTGCTGTGTGGTTTCTAGGCTGTACAGACACGTTCTAGCAGCATTTTCTCCTAACATTTCACCAGCATCTGTGGTTGGCATCTTCAGAAGATACCAACCACAGATGCAGGCAAAACATCAGGAAAAATGCTGCTAGAACACGTTTGGCCATACAGCCGGGAAATTAGACAACAACGCAAAACATAGACCCTTTGGATTCAACATGACCCACCAAAGCTGGATTCAGCTGCAGCAAATTGACCACATTCATGGGGATTCCAAATATCGTAAACCTTCCTCCCACAAAACATCAACACATATTTTAATTGTGCGGGCCTTAATTTGAAAGTAGTTGTTCTACTCCAAAAACTTTGCTTTGTGACTGTCACAAAGTAGGTTGAATTCATTGAGACTCTATCAGATATTCATTGAAAAACTAGAGCAAAATGTGTTGAGGGTTTTCCCGCAAGAACAAAGTTTTTACAGTTTAATAAACATTTTCCATGTTTATATGATAGAAACAATTAGGGAATAACATTTATAACCCAGGAACAAAAATCATGTTATAGTAGTGTAATCAAATCTGCAAAAGAGAAACCTGTGACTGTGGGCAGATGACTCCATTGTAAACTCATTCAACAGATGCTCTGAGGATTCAACTGTTGAGATATGTTTGATTTATTGGTAGATTTCAAAGTATATGTTTTTAAAGCTGTGATCATGTGTTTGTGAAGCTGCCTAGCATGTGTAGAATTAACAGACAATAGAGGTTTGGGTGATCCTTGAGGGACAGAATGAAATGTTTTCCTACTTCCTCTGATGAGACCAGACTTTTGTCATCAGTATGGTATGAGAGAGGTGTGTCTTTACTGATAAGAGAAAAACTACAATTGCCATCTTTCCGAGATGTTTTTGCAGACATTGTGCAGGTACAGCTGTACCAGGAGCTCCAATTTTGTTTGCTTTGCATTGAATGTTTGTTGTAGTCCTAAGTTTCAGGGACTCTGCAGATAGGTGGCTTCTTTTGGCTGCAATCATAGGGCAAGCCACCTGTCAATTATAGTTAGGTTCCCTGGTCCCGCCCCCTTTTTGGGTTTTGGAGGGAATAGGAGCCAGTTTGGGTTCAGTCCACACAGAGAAGCCTTTCATGCAGGACATAATACCAAGAGCTCCTGTAGAAAGCTTCGTCTTCTACAGCTTGGCCGGGAGATATATAGCCTTACAGCTTGGCCGGGGAGAAAGGTCCCATAGCTTGGCCGAGGATTATACAGCCTTACAGCTCCTTTGCTGAAGGACTTCAGTCAGCCATCACGAAACCTGAGTTCTTTTTCCCTGGAAGTCTACAAAGCTCTGCTTGGTAAGGGTCACTCGGAAGCCAGAAGCAGTTGGTACCGGGTGCAGGGGCTCCACGCCAACAGAGGCAAAGACAGACTGCCCAGATTAGAAGTTAAGGATTTCCCTATTAGCTAAAATACAGTTTATGAAGATAGTGCCTGTTCCCTGTGGACAAGATTGAGAGAGAGCCAATAGACTGTTAAGAAAGCTTTAAAGTACCTGTTTGTTTTCATCAATAAAGAACATTGTTGAATCTTTAAGCAATCTAAAGACTCTGTTTTAAGGAAATCCAAGGGCCTTTAATCTGAGGCAGCCCCGGCGTCCCATTGGGCACACGGAATTTATGTCCTGTCTACAGTCTTATGCACAGGCCCAGCGTGCGACAGCACAGACACGCTTGCTTTGTGCTGTGTTCGTCTTTGTATATATAATGTAAATAAACTAATTGCTACAGTCCATCCAAGTTTTATTACCACTTCGACATCAACAAAGTCTTACAAACATCAGAATATCACCAGAGTAGAATGGTGCAAACCTTCCCCACTTTTAAAGCAGATTTGCATCTTAGCATATTGTTTGATCAAATTCTCAATTCAGATTATTATTATTATTATTATTATTATTATTATTTATACTCCGCTTTATCTCTCCCGCAGGAAATTATCACACAGGCCTGCTACACTCCTATTCCGGCATCTGCACACAATTATATACAGATTCTCTTTACCTTCACAACAGTAGAGGTTAAGACTATACTTTTCTATTGAAGAGGAAAACATGGACATTCTTGACTTTCTATATTTATTTTTATGCTTACAAGGTGTGTGTGAAATGTCACCATAGTGCAGAAATCATCATCCTGTTCTCTGTTGCCTACAGTGGGTGTGAATGCCGATCCCACATTCTCTTGTAATCACGGAGTATGTATAAGCCCAGACCGGGGTACCAACCAAACGTTTACCCAAAGTACAAAAGAAGGCTATGGAAGCAACCATGATCGTACTTCACCCAACAGCAATTCAGAGGAAGACTGCTATGGAAGTGTTCCTCAAGAAGACACACCAAAGCCAGAGTACCTCTTCAAGGCAGCAAACCAACAGCAGAAGGCAGGTTTCTTTGGGGAAACTTTGCCCTACACTATGCCTTCCTTACCTTGGATGCTGGCGGCAGCTGTGTGAACACCTGAGAAGGAGCCAAAATAGCATGGAGCTGTGGATTCAGCGGGAGGAATGCACATGGAACCAGGAAGTGCTGTGAGGCTTCGACTCTTCGTCACAGGCATGGAAACCTCGCTTTTTCTGGCAAACTGGAAGGAAGGAAGGAGGAGTTAATGAGACAACAACACAGATGGAAAAGGAGTTATAAAATCAGAGACAAAAAGCATTCAGGGAACTGTCTACTGTCAGCCCCCCAGATTCACTGAGGTTGAGGCACATGGAAGCCATGAAAGGAAAAAAATGCAAAATACTAACATTGCTGGATTGTTTAGTGTTTTCGGGCTATATGGCCATGTTCCCGAAGCATTGTCTCCTGATGTTTCACCTGCATCTATTGCAGGAATCCTGAGGTTGTGAGGACCTCACCTCTGAATCATAGAATAGAATCATAGAATCATAGAGTTGGAAGAGACCTTGTGGGCCATCCAGTCCAACTTCATTCTGCCAGAAAATTGCAATCAAAGCACCCCTGACAGATGTCCATCCAGCCTGTTTCAAAGCCTCCAAAGAAGGAGCCTCCACCACACTCTGCGGCAGAGAGTTCCACTGCTGAACAGCTCTCACAGTATTATGTGTCGTTGGGCAAGTAAGTTTAAAGATGTTGAGGTGGGAACATCTGACTTGCATGGCAAACAAAGAGTTGGACGTCCTGTGACAGCAACCACTGAGTTTCACAAGCAAAAGGTTGACAGATTGATTCAGGACAATTGTTGTATCACTCAGAGAGAAATTTCAAGCATAATTGGCATTTCACAAGAACATGTGGGTCACATTATTGCTTTGCTTGGCTATCAGAAGATCTGTGCACGATGGGTTGCGGAAACAGAGTGTTGACTTCTTCTGTGATGGCTTCAGAAAACTTGTTCATTGTTGGCAGAAATGTATCCAATTGTCTGGTGATTATGTGGAAAAGTGAATAGTGGTAGTTAAAGAGTGTTGTGCCTCAGCCTGAGCCTGAGTTTCCTCAGGACGAGGAGGAGGATGGGTTACAGATTTCTGAACATGCCCCTGTTGTTGAGACAGACAGTGTTGATACTGAAGAAGAGATGGTGTTTCTGTTTCCCAAAGAAAGGATGTTGTTTTAGATGACGGTCATGATTTGAGTGAAATTTCACAGCTGCAGGTGGAGGGGTGAGATCAGTGCCTCTTGATTCCCAAGGTGGCCAGTCCCAGGATAATGAGTTATTCAGCCTTGAAACTGATGGGGATTTGATTAGGGAGGACGGTATGCAATTAAGAGTACGATGAAGTGCTCGGCTTGCTAACAAACGGGAAGTTTGAGGTCAACGTAATGCTTTCATGCTAGGGAAGAATATTTAACGATCTTATTGAAGTCAATCCTTTGTCAGTGCAACTTTGCTTACACCCTGTTAACTTCTCTGAAATTGCCTCGGCTTTTGGGGGAAGCTTTTGGCTCTTTGGGACTTTGGTTTTGATCTTGGTTTCTGAGAACTCTGTCATGCTGCCATGGATTCTTGTTTGACAAATACTTGTGGAAAATACTTCATGTTATTTGCCTTTGGACCTTGGAAACTCTGCCTTTGCAATTGAGACTCTGTTTTGGCTATTGAACTTTTATAACCTTATTTCTACATTTATTATTTTGTTTTTCTTCAATAAATTACAAAACCTACAGCCTTGGTGTGTGGTGTTGTTCTGAGCAAGGTGAATCTATCCTGAGTTGCAATAGTGAGCACATTCTAAGGATTATTTCTGTGTTTATTAAAATATTCCCATACAAACCCAAGTAATGAAGGTGGAAGCATTACTTTTCATTCAACCCTCATACAACTGAAAGACATTGACAGTCACCTGCTTGAAGTTCTTTTAAATATTCTGAGGAAGTGGGAGTCATGCATCGTTTCCCCAGGCAGCGCCTTACAAAGATTAAATACTTTTCCCCCCAATTCTTCTTCATAACTGCCTCTTATTCTATCTACAGTAGATATGGCAAAGGGGAAAAAAATCCCCTTTTCTTTCTGAAAATGGAACTGACACACTTTCAAAGGGATTTAGATAAAGAGCTCGAAACAACTGAAGAAAGTCCTTCAAATATGACAAATGTTGCAGTCTATCTTCAGCTATAGGAGAGCGATTCCCTCTGGTTTGCCCTTTTGAAGTGCTGTCACAATGGTGTTTGGCATCTAAGTAGTCAAGGCACTTATCTAAAGACTTTTGTTTGTTCCTAAATGGGACACTGAGTAAAGGACAACAGTAAAGAGAAAGAAAAGGTGTGGCCCAGGAAAGAAATAAGAGATACAGAATGAGAAGACATTCACCCTACTCACCATGGATGCGTCTATCTGAGCTAAGAGCCGGGGGTTGTTCTGCTCTACAGCCTCCAAGCACTGCAGCATGACCGTGACATGGGCATCGCTGAGCAAAAAAGCCGAGTCTGCCAACACAAAAGAGGAAAGGGAAAAAAGGGAAGGAACTGAGACTCATACCGTCTATTGCTCTGTGGTTGGTTCCCATTGTATTTAATGTCTGTGTTTTCTTTGTTTACAGGCAATTTAACAGGGAAATGGGATGGAATGTGGGTAAGAGGAAGCAGACCAGAGGCCTCCAGATAGAAGCTGGGACCAAAACATAATAATAATAATAATAATAATAATAATAATAATAATAATAATAATCTTTATTTATACCTCGCTACCATCTCCCCAAGGGACTCGGTGCGGCTTACATGAGGCTGAGCCCACAATACATCAATAATAAAACAATAGCAAACAAACAATACAAAACAGTTAAAATACATCTCATAAACAAAAATAAAATATAAGCAGTACAGTAACACAACAAGCATTTAAAACCTATGGCTGGGCCAAATGTAAAATTTAAAAAATAATGCTGGGCATGAGCAAGGTAGGATATAACTGGGATGGAAATTTTCGGAGGGGATAGGGCGTGCGAAATACACAAGCGTGAGGACAATTTCAACAGAAAGGAGGAAACCATGAAAATGAACAAAATCTGGCTACCAGTATTAAAAAACTCTAAAATTAGAACAGCACAACAACAGAGAGGAAACAAACAAGGACATCTAATCACCTCTCAACAAAAGATTGCTCCAGGCACTGCCAGGCAATCAAATGCTAATCAAGGTGGTCAGTTGAAACATTCACACCTAGCTCCAGCAGACAAGAGTCCTTTGTCCCACCCTGGTCATTCCACTGATATATAAACCCTTTTTCCTAGTTCCAACAGACCTCACTACCTCTGAGGATGCTTGCCATAGATGCAGGCGAAACGTCAGGAGAGAATGCCTCTACCCGAAAAAATAGCCCAAAAAAACCTACAACAACCCAAAGTTTGTGGATGTAGAACTACCAGAAAGCAGACATGTCGCTATCTCAGCTACACACATGGACAATTTTGCAGTATCTCAGAAATCTGGATAAGGGACGTTTAAGCCATATTGAAAAACAGAAAACTCTTTGAACTTGATTTTAGAAATCAAATAGTAGTTGGAACTTCTTGCTAAAGCCAATGATTAAAAATCAAGCCAATCTGACTTAGAACAAGACACTGAGAAAACATGGAAAATCCAGTGAATTCCAAGCGATGTTTACCCTTTTGAGGCAGCCTCCAAAACAAATTTGTGTTTATCCATAAATATAAATATGACACATGAATAGCTAAGCAAAGAGGCAATTATCTGTTGAATGTAATTTATGAAGGAAGCACGTAACCATCTCAAAGGCATTCGAACCAAATCAACAGTGCCAGCTTTCTTCCACTCCTTACTATTTAGCCCTTCTCAGTTTGACTTTCAAAGTTATTTGAGGCACAACAGAATCAAGTTTCTGTATATGTGCGTCTTTGGCACTTTCAAAACACACACACATTTTTCAAAGATACACAGAAAAATAATTTTAAACATCTTAACTGTGAAAAAATTAGTGTCAGCGTAATGACTTTAGGAAGCCAGTGTTGAGTGTTGCATTGTGACTCTGGAGAACAGGATATGAAT